CAAAAATGACTAGGAGAGAATTCTCCATTGTTAGAATATTTTCTGATACATATACATGTTCTTGTGTTGTGTAGAAAGTTTAGGCTCATTCCGATCAAGATTGGATTTTTTATGAATTTTTAAAGTTGCCCAAAAGTTGCCCAAATACCCTGTACTATAGTACAGGGTATTTGGCCAAATTTTGCCAAAAATGACTAGGAGAGAATTCTCCATTTTTATAATATTTTCTGATACGTATACATGTTCTTATGTTGAGTAGCAAGTTTGAGCTGATTCCAATCAAAATTGGATTTTTTATGAATTTTTAAAGTTGCTCACTGCATATGTCCAGATATGTTTACGAGGATTGCTTCCATGAGTAATGGATACACCATCAACAGTAAAATTTTCAATATCATTTTGAAAATTAAGAAAAGCCCGGGCTCTAAAAGATTGATATCCTCTAACTTGCCCACAGACTTTATTGTATGTTAGTCCGTTAGATGAGAAAGTAGTTGAAATACAGGTAGAACTGTTAGCTAGTCTACCACACAGTGGGTGATCAATGTTAGTGAAGTTCTTTTGTATTAGTCCAGCAGGACAGGTAGCATCAGACTCAGTCATGTTAAAATATCCTACTCTAGTCCAACCATCTTCTCCATCACAATTGATACCATTCATATCACAGTATACCTGTACAGTATATCAATGATGAATGAATCATAGCAAGTTATACTAACCTCTACTGGGGTCACTCCATCAGGATATATAGTGTAGTCACCATTGATAGTGCTATTTAAGTCCTTGCAACTTCTTACTAATGATATTAAATTTTTAATAAAAAATTGCTGCATAACTGTGTGTACCTGATTGACAAGGCTTTGGTAGTACACTTGGACAGAGAATGTATCTACTGATGCCATTCCCTTTGATAGTAAAACTCCTTCCCAAGTTATCCATAACACAACAGACTCTTAGATATAATGAGAAGGACCCAGAAGTACCTTGATTAGTACAGTCAGTAGACATACAGTAAGATCCACTGGTTGTACTACTAGCATAAAGAAACAGGGACAACAGTAACATCACCTTCATCTTCTTGGCCCTTGATGTGACTCTTACTGTGTTGATAGCATAAAGTATGAGCTATTATACTTTTTATACATAATTGACATTTCCTTTGGAATTTTAGAATTAGCAATAAATATTGGGGCCAGTTATAATGTTCATAACTATTTATAGGCAGGTCCTGTAAATGTGCTCTTAATGCTCCTTT